TTTTTTTTTCTTCTTGCTTGTACGATTCATTCGCGTTCATATATACCACTAATATCCAATAGAACTATTTTAAACAGGTCGCTGCACTACCACCGAATTTTTCATTGCTTGTTCTGTGACAAAACTGAATTTTGGTCTTTTAAATTGAAATACCTAAATAAGGGAGGGGCGAAATTTCCCTCCGCCCCGGGCGGCTGACACCCACGGTACGCCACTGGATTCTTCCCCCGAAATTTCCCAGTGTCGGACCAATTGCTGTGTGTGTGTCTTGTGCCCATCTTCGTCTCCGTCTCCCGACATCTTCCCAACACCGGAAGCTAATTTTATACATTTCTTGTGAAAGAAACATTTCTTATTCAATGGCCATAAAAATTATTTATGTTAATGATGTCTCCAAAGTTTTCGCAGAAAAATAACTTTATCAGAAATTGTGGCCGCCATTTGGGTGCCGCTCCGCGACGAAAACAAGCTTAAGCAATGGTGACATCGAATGGTGCACACTTGGTAAGTAATCCTACAATTTTTTGTTTATAGCATAGTTTATACGGATTATTCCCAAAAAAATATACGTATTTTGGAAATGTTGAGTCAAATTATTCTAGAAATCAATTAATTTTATGGAAGAAAACCTTTCAAACAGCCGTAGTCTGTAAACTTCACACATGTTGGGCTGTGATTGGCAAGGTCTCCTAAAACATCAATTTCATAAAAAACAGAACCTATCTACCGTGTTATAGGGGGAGTCGACTGTACTTAGTATGTAACAGTAAACAGATAATACAAAAATTAGTATTTTAAAAATGTTATGCATTAACACTATACAACAAGAACATTTATTTATTAATGTATGCAGTCTGAAATGGACATTGGTCAAAAAAAATTAAAACAGAAATAAAATATTAAAGGCATTTATCATTATCAATTACTATTTCATCTATTCCTATTAATGGACAGATTAAATTCATTGGCTTTGTTACATTATATAAACTTTGCTGTTAATAACCACAACAACACATTAGCCTATGCTTTATTATTATGTATAATGAAGATATATTCTCCACAAGAGAATATATCTTCATTCAGATCAGAAGAAAAGAACTTGCAGCTTGTTTCATAAATCTTGGCCAGGTCTACTTGAAGATTCATTAATTTTAACAAGGTCACTGTGCATTACTAAAAAATCCAAGTTTAATTTTCCAGGCTATTATGAGATTTTATCCAAAAAAAATTTTGCCTATTTATTATAATTAATAATATAAAAAATATTGTAAATGCCAATAATGATTGACTCATTCTCTGACTTAATGAAAATGTTATACTCCCCACCCCTCAAACTTTATTAATTAATCCCCTTATATATAGGTTACCATGCCAAATTTTGTTTTTAATATATATTCTGTCCTGAGATATTAAATAATGCCCCCCATAGAATTTTTTGGGTTAAGGGGATCTCAAAACATCAAGAGGATCAAATTTGACACAATTCCAATATTTTCTTGTTATATGTCAGCCAGGAAAATAAAGGGATTCTTGAATTTTTTTAAAATTTCAAGAGCCCTGGCCAAGATATATGAAATGAAATGATCTGTAAATACTGTACATTGTTGCATTAGGCATCTCAATCTTTTTTTCCCAATCTTCAGTGTGATAGGCTCAACATTGTGCATGCCTTATTATATGGAACAAAATTTTTATTCCATCTGGAGAGGTTTACTATATTAGTTTTACAGAAAAAATTATTATAGAATTAAATAGAACAATTAGTTTGATTTTGTTATTATATGAATGTAACTTAAATAAAGTTTTTTATGTATCAAAGTATGTTAATTTTTATCATTGACAATGAAACTGATCAATTTAGTGACATTTTTAATCTGATTTATGAAAATTCTCAACAGCTGAATGTTACTGCTGGTTCTGGTCGTTTCATCCCGACTCTTCCATATTGCCCTTATGTGTATAATCGTCTTCAACAAAGAGATAAGGTAAAGATTACTGGTTTCAGTTAAAGTTAAATTATTATTAAATCATTTATATTAATACATACACTTTTCACAGGTAATAGTACCTGAAAAAATTGACAGAAAACCAATTGTCAAATAGATGAAGGTGAATTTATTTTGTGTTTTAATGAGAATGTAAGAATAAATTATATATTTGAAAGAGAATATCAAAGTGCACGTAAGAGCATGCTCTTATAGATGGAGCAAAATCAACACTAGTCTGCAAGGTATCTAAGAAAATCTGTGACTGAATAGTCAGTAATCAGTACATTTATAAGAGCATGCTCTCATTTGCACAAAAATATAGTAAATTGTTAAAATGTTGCCTGTTTGATGGGTATTTTGTAAATGTTTTGTTCTTATCCTGTTGTGTAGTTGGGGTTCCATCAGCTTATAAATGCAGCTCTCAAGTAGGTTTGGGATAGAACCTATTCTTAAGATATCTATAAAGAAACTCCACCAGATACTTTTTAGCAAATTTTCCAGTGAATTAGAAATTCAGGCTGAACATCATTGAAGCCCAGAGTTTTGTTACTTCTGAATTCTATAAGCCATTCTCTGTTAGAAATCAAAAGTTGCAGGTTTTCTGACTATTGCATTTTTAATTTGTTTTACTTCAGGAATGTTCTGGGGTAGTTAAATATAAGAGTTAAATTTGTTTGGTGTTATCAGTCAGTTGCCTTTCAATTTTTGTAGTAGTCCTCATGTTTTTCTGCTAGATTTACAGAAATCTAACTTCTTCACAGTCTAGATAGACTATGTAATAGAGTTTATCAAGATATTGCCAATGAACTATTAAGTATTCACATCTCTCATTCCTTCCTGATATAACTAAAAGAACTACAAAAGATTGGGGATAGTTCTCTGTTGGTGGTATCTGTTGAACTTGGCTTAGTTTGCTTTTTTCAAATTCCAGAAATCTGAGGACCAAAAATGAAATTATTAATGAAATGTTTGACGTGTTATCTATGAGAACAGGGTGGATTCTGGCTGTGAGAAATCCATCAAACCCACTGAGATGCTGATAAACATTCACTGTATTTCTGGAAATGAAACAGATCAAGATTATATTCCTATATCTGCAGGACACAGAACTTTCCTTGAAATCAAGTTGTGTATTATATTCAGTTCATCAGGGCTTCACCATTTCTCATTTAATAGCTATCTTGAATGAAATACCAAAAAAAAAACCTCAAAATGTACAGAAGAGTATGAATAGAAATGAACATTCCTCTAATCCTGATGGAAATCATGGGACATTTTGCATAGATTGTATCTGAGTGTTCTCCTCTGGACTGCAATTACACTCATTTTATTTTATGAAGATATTTTTATCTCCACTAATGTCTTAACCTGTTCAAGGTCATTCCCAAGTATATTCATTTGCAATGCATTACATTTTTTAACTGATAGATGGCATTAATTTTGCTAGAATTTGTCATATGATAACATATGACATAATGAATCACAATTTTCAAATTATTTTTCTGCACATATTCAATCAGTATATATACCACTTTAAATTGGAGCTTGTAGCAAGAATTGATTTTAAAATGACAACTAAAATGAGGAAGATGTTACTGACATTCATTTACTAAAAGAATTAATAAAATCACTGAAGATTTTGACATAATGCAAAATTGTGGTGCTTTCACCTAGTGAAGAATCAAATTTTATTTTACATAGGCCAAATTTGTGTACCATGACTGAATTTAAAAATGAGAACAGTTCTCTACTCAATTGGTCCTGGAAAGTACTGTTGCACACTTCTAAGCACTTGGCTTGAAAACTATATATATAAAGCCAAAATTTGAATCGTTTTAAAGTAAGTGGTGTCCATAAACTTTATTTATTTAGATTTTCAAGTCTAAATAGCTGTTTTTCACAATGATTAACAGGGTAATAACAGTAGATGGCTTACAATGTTGCCAAATTTCCTGTACTAGTTCTTACTGACATTGCTCTACATTATGTATTTTGGTAAGTGCACTTCATAATGGAGCTGTAAAATTTATATATCACTGAATGTAAATATGAAAATTTTTTCCATATAAATTATCAGACAGTCAGTCATTAGAATTGCAATAATTAATATTGGCAAATGTTTTAGATTCTTGCACCATTTTCAATACGATGGATATTTTGTAAATTGTGTGAACAATTAATATAATAGCAAGCTCAATTGGTATATTTTCATCTTTTAAAAAAGTAATAGGTTAGTCTGTAAATGATTCATATTTTATTGTATATTGTATAAGTTTAATTATTTACACAATTTGAAGACAATCTAAAAAGCAAAATATACAAAATAAATTTCTTGATAAAGAGTCTTAAACTTTTTAAAGTAAATATTATTCAATTAATATTATAATTTTTATATTTACAGTAGACCACTAATGAAGGATGGTAGAAAATTTAAGTGACTTATTGCACAGATAATTATCTAGCAGAAGAGGAAATGTCACCAACTGAATATATATTCCATGGCTTTTGAAATAACATTATTATTCTTTTGTGGCGTTCTGGTCTGAGGGGTAACCTGTGGAAAAAACATATAAATAATTATCTGTACACATTTTCATGGAGCTTTAAATAATATTGATCATGTATAATATTGATATTAAATCAAATAAACATTGCAAAATTCACTTCTTGATTCATTACATATAAAATTAGAAGACATACACAACACACAGGAACAAATGATAATCTAATGTAGAAGATTGGTAAAGTAAGAAATCATCCATATTTACTATAAGGAGTGTTTGTCTTTTCAGTAAAACAAATGAATTCATTAAAAAAAGTATGTAAATTAAGGACAAAATGCATGTCAACTGATTTTGAAAAATCATATGGTCTTTATAAAAAGGCCAACATTGTATGGCTTGTCAATTGGTAGAACATTTCATAGTGGTGTTCAAAAACACAACTTTTAGCAATAAATTATTACTAATGATTAGTCAAAAAGTAATTGTTTTAATTATCCATAAAAATTTCTATAATTTAACCCAGTGTTAGTGTTAGTTACTGATATATGTTGTTCCAATTGATCCTAATGTCAAAATTAAATTAAAAATGGATGATACCTCATTGCAGCTTGTATCAGATAGCATATTTTCACCATGAACTTTGAATGCTTGCAAGATTCACTTGCAATGTTTTGTAAAATTTTAAATGGACAAGCTCTAATATACTTGTTTGTTTATCACCTTTATACTATAAAGGTGAATTTATTCTAGTAGTAGTACAATCTCTCAGAATTGATTTTATACAAACAAACTGCCTGTGAAAAATTTCAAAAGTTTTTTAAAGTCACAGGATAATTCTATTCAAGGCTTGCTGTGACAAGCAGTTAAAAATTCTTTACATGGGTAATGTGATATTTTATGTTGGTTTATTCTTCTGATCAAAATAAATAAGAATATAACAATGTGATCAGATTGTTAAGAATCACATAGTTAGTTATGCATCTATCTGTGAGCTGTTAAGATTCTATTGCACTATCAAAAAGTATTTTATAATTATACAAATGTTTCCAGTTTTGTATAATCATTTTTTAAATGCTATTTTAATTATTATTTAACATCCAAACTCGGTTATAACATTTTAAACAAAATTTCTTACCTTATGAGTAGAAACTGCCGTCTTGTATGCTTGAGTTAGGGGCCGAATGGTTCCTTGATTCATTCCACTTTTTTCTGAGCTAATAAATGGTGAGATGGCACTAGAGCATAAAGAATTCTCTTTGCAAGATTCATCCATTACTGCCTGTATTAAATTTGTTATTTAAAACATTATTTACATTGTTAAAATATTTACACACAATGCTGTATTATAAAATTTATTTAAATATTTGACTGAAATATATATTGTAATTTCAATCTTGTGATTGCAGGTTAATCTGCTGTCTCATGTAGTAGCAGCAATTTTGTACACCTATTTTTTGCAGACATTTTTCACTAAATTGAGTACTTTCATGATTTCCTCATGTTAAAAACAACATACAATGTCTTCTGCTTGTGCAAAAATTCAACATATCACAGGATTTTCAAATTCAAGGAATGGTAATTATGCATGAAAAATCAACAGAAAATCACCATGTTATGTATGCAATTGCAGGTTAACAAGAAAACAGTATGGCACAAAAACAGCTTTAGTAAAAAGCATCAACTAATTTAAGATATGAATTGTTGATCTTAAATTACAAATAGATAAAAGATCAATCATCTAATCAATAATCACTTGCTGTATTAGGCAATGATGATCCATCATTCAATTTTTTACATCATAAGATGATGTAAAAAGCTTAACACTATCAAAGAGAGATATCAACTTCCCAAGAATGAAAAATACAGATGACCATAATTAAAGCATATCTATTCAAAGCAATGTTCAGAGATAAAATTTTTTGTTTGGAAATATTTTTAATGTGATGCATTAATAAATCCTTCGTATGTATTGACTCCAAATATCACATTGATCTGGTCAATAGTTAGGTTTTTACAAGCACTGAAGTGAAATACAATGTGTGCCAGTTTGTACTATACATAACAGCTCAAATTTTCCATTTGGAGGTAAACCACAATGTCCAACCTGAATTTGATTTCCAATGTTCTTGGTGATCGTATCTTTATTTTTTATAGCAAGTTTTTGGGATTCAGAATTCAAGCATGGCCACACACACACACAAAGTGATGATGAACCACATTCAGGACTTCCAAAACCTGCTACCACTCCAGAAACTGTGGATAAAATCCATGACATGGTGTTAGAAGATCACAGAATCAGTATGTGAAATTGAGGAAGCTGTGGGGCATCCCCTATGAACAAGTAGTTCATATTTTCATGACAAATTGGGTTTAAAGTTGTCTGCAAGATGAGTGCTGCATTTGCTCAGTCCTGAGCAACAATGCATTTAATCCCGAACATCAGCTGAGAGTTTGGAATTGTTTAAGAGGAATCCACTGGATTTCAAGAAACAATTTGTGACAATGGATAAGACTAGGATTCACAACTACAAACCAGAAACAAAAATTCAGTCAGAACAGTGGATTGGAGACAGTGAACAGCTTCCAAAGAAGGCAAAGACCTTTCATTTGGCTGCCAAGGCAATGGCATCAATTTTTTGAGATGTCAAAGGAATTTTGTTAGTTTTTCCTTTTTTCAAGATAGTCAATTGTCACTAGCAATACCATGCAAAACTTTTGGACAAGCTAAAAAACACCTGGGAATGATCAAGAAAAAAAGTGCTGCTGCTTTCACTCGCTCAATCAATTGCAGTAGTTCAGCAAAAACTGGAAGAAATTAAGTTCAAAATCCTTCTGCATTCATCCAAGCCAAATCCAAGTAATATGCTTATATTACTGGATATTGCTCCCTCAGACTTCTATTCTGTTCCTGAAACTTAAAACATTCCTAGCTGGAAAGAGATTTTGGTCCAATGAAGATCGAGGCTGTAATCAGCTATTTTGGGGGCCTTGGAGAAAATTGAAAAACTCGTCAGAAACTGTTATAATTTAGATGGGACGTGCTATCACACCAACCATATTTTTGTAAGCAAAGATCAAAACTTTTATGAATGTGAAATAATGCTACTACCAGAGACAATGACAACAGGTATTTGACCAAAATGGTCGATATATAATTCAATAAAATATTTATTTATTATAAAAATATTGTTTTTTCCATGGAAAAAAAATGAAATTACTTTCCGAACAACCCAATACAGTCAACCCCCCTATAACACTGTTGATTATTCCGTTGTATATGAATTCCATGTTGTATGAGTCACTTAGATTTTACAAATACGTGAGTTGAGTTGGGCTGTGAACAGCTCACATATTTGTAAAATCTGACTCGTACAACATGGAATTCATATAAAATGGAATAATCAACAGTGTTATAGGGGGGGTCAACTGTACTTAAATTTAAAAAGCCACTTATGGTTCAATTTCATTGTTTCGTTGTTTATAATGCAATAAATCTTATGCTTGGTGATCAATAGAGAAACTAAAATGTATATTTTGCATATTGATTGAAGAACTGGTCACTATCCAGAACATTGTTAGATATTAGGTAACCAAATAAATATTGTCATTTTTTACTTTGACAAGTAAAAATTATTTTATTCAATAAAATATTCATCTTCATAGAATAATAAGTTAGTTGGCTGCCTAGCAAAATGTTAGCTACTATTGCAGGGGATAAGATTTAAACTAATCCTCCATAATTTAGCATGGGTAGCAAAGATCAGAGTTGATTCTCATCCTACATTCATGTCCATCCATAATAGGAATAATTGTGAACAGCTGTACAGCTTTAATGTGTTAGTCTCTCTCTTACTAATCATAATCAGTTAATAACATTATGAAAAATTATCAAGTTTATTTAAAACATTGAAATAATTACCTTTTCAATGCACTGCGTAACACCAATCATCATTGTTTTACCAAATATTTTCCCATTCTTTCCAATTGCTTTCTTTGCTTGTAGTTTTGTCTCATAATGAATGTGCATCCAGTTTCCTGATGTTGCAATCTATCAAATACATTTCAAAAATGTTACTATTTTAAATGAAAAATGACAATATCATTTGGACATTTACAAAATAGAAGTATCTCAAAAAAAGCAAAGATTTTCTAGAAAATATTTAATTTTTATAGAATACTAGCTAAGGTACCCAGCTTCACTCAGGGAGTTGGTATGAGATTGTGTGGTAGTTGGAATAAAAGGACACACAGTATTTACCCAGAATACCACTGATCTCTACTGAACTGCCATTCTAATTTAAAAGACTGCAATTTCCAATCAAATTAGCCTATAGTTTTACAATTATCAAAGCACAAGGACACACTATAAAACATTGCGGCATTAACCTTAAAGACTCCTGCTTCTCTCACAGTCAACTATACACTTAATGATCAATACTGTGCTTTATATATCCCCACCAATGGGTAGTCCCACCCATACAAAAAAGACTTTGGATGTCCACAATGTTCGAGAACATTCCACAACATTCGAGAGTGTTCTGGAATGTTCCACAATGATCTGGAACATTCTGGAATGTTGTGGAATGCTCTCGAATGTTCTGGACTGTTCTAGAAACTTCTAGCCCTTATATCTTCAATAGCATGCCCTTCAGGTAAAAACGGAACTTTCTTCATGGAAAGGGGATAGAGAGCTACCACACCATATAATTCCCTTGATTGTACCAGGACTTGTTTTTGAGCTTTAGCAGCATGCACGTTGTACACTTACCTTTATAATATATATTGATGATGATTAACTGTGAATCTCCTATAAACTTGTAACAAATAATATAAAATTACTGATGACCAAATGGCTGAGATAAGTAAGGCATCAGCCTACAACTCTGGAGACCTGGAATCAAATCCAGACAAGTAGCCCAAGAATATTTCATGGGCAATAAGTTCCTGATATGTTGGGCTCCATCTCTCCATTGATGGACTGGCCAAACTCATGATAGATATGATTACAAAAGCCTTAGTGTCCAGAGGATAGAAAGAAATTGGGGGAATGAAATAAAAACAAAAATATATAAAATTGTTGAAATAATTAACACAGTCAAATCTTCATAAAACACCAATGAATACTCAATTAATATACCATTTTGCACTGCAAATGTTATAACAACCAAATCAAATGAATGACAAACTTGTATATAGACTTCATCACTATATACAGTATATAATTCTTATTGTTTGAGATTCTTCAGTTTAGCACCATACTTGATTTAGTGCCAATTTCATAGACAGAAAAAAAAGATGTTAAATCAAGGCTTGACTATTATAGAATTTTTTGAAATTAACTCAGTTTACTTTTTTTTAATAAGATTAAACCCTTTGAGAAATATAAATTTATAAGACAAAATCACATTTTTTTTTTACAAACATGAAAAAAATTAAAATATTTTTGCTCTAATGTTATGTTTGAAATGTTGAACAGAAATGCATGAGAAAATTTATATTAATATAATTAAAAAGTAAGAACATACTTTGTGCTCAAGAACAGTTCCATATTGTGAAAATTGCTGTAAAATATAAGATGCTGCAGCTGGTGGAAACCTGTATATTAAAATTACTTTTTATTTCTATATAAATAATATATATATAAGAAAAAAATTATACATACCCAAATACTGTTACCCATGTTTCATCTAATTGCATATCTGCAGTAAGATTCTCTCTACAAGAGAATATAATATAAATATAGAGAACAAAATCCTATATTCTAATTGAAATGAAATATTTTGCTTACCCTTGAGTGTAAAATGGATCAATTTGTGCAGGAGAAAGAAAAGAACTATTAGTAGTCTGATTCACATTTCGATCTGGGGTTAAAATGGAGTTAGTTAAATTTCCTGAAACACAATTATTTTTAATTTGATTTTGGTAAGAAACAAAATAACTTTTGTGTTAATAACCAAATGATACAGCCTGATTCTTTTTGAGTTATAACAGCCAGATAGGTTATATCTTCTAAATTAATTGATTTGAAAGCAAAGATGGAAGTACAGATAATGCAACTGATAATGCATCTCACGGTGTGCAAGAGTTTGAGTCCCACACCAGGCCAATCTTTTCTTCCAGAATATTCTAAATTAAATTTATTTCTAATGACTTAATTTAATATGAGATGGCAGCTTAACCATCTATTTCTAGTCTAAATTACTTAGTATCTTAATAATTAATTAGTCATATTATAGCCCAATAAGAATTCAGCAATATCATTTGATTATTAATTTTTATGAAATAGTTTTTTAATTACCAGAATCAAAAGTTGCATTAACCATTTTATCTTGTACCTATAAAATATGATAACAAATGAAATGAAATGTATTATGCCACTCTCTTAAAACAGATGAGAAAATTTTACCATGGATTTCTGGGGTGTTGCTATATTTTTGGCTGGATAATTAGATGCAGGTGAAGTAATATTATCAAATAGTTCTTGTACAGGAGGAACACCTGGCTTTCCTCTAGGAGTTTGACTATGAATAAGTCTAATAAAAGAAAATTATTGATACAAACCTTTTAAACTTATAATTCTTTATATGTTTCTATTCAATCACAATATCAAAACCCAATATATGTTAATAATTAAACAATACAGTCAAATTTTTATCAGATTACAATATGGCTAATTAGTTGTTAAGATACTAAGCAATTTTACCTAGATGTAGGTGATTAATCTTGTATTAAATTTAACTATTAGGAATAAATTTATTTATAATACAAATATTCTAATGATAAAATTTAACACAAGATACCATCTTAACCACCTATTAGTCCAAATTGCTTAGTAAATTAATTAATTAATTAATTTGCCATACTGTAGCTCAATAAGAATCCAGCAATATTGTAATTCTTTGTGTATAACTTTTATAATAATTTGTTATAAGTTCAAATATTTTAACAACCAACTTAAAATTTATACTATCAATAAAAGTCAAGAATTTCATAATTTGTTATAACCAATGTCTTCATAACAATTATTTTAAAATTTAATCATTAATTTAGACATTATAACATTTCACGAATGAAAACAATTGGTATGAGAAATTTAAAAGAAATGCATAAACTTTTCTATTTCCTAAATTATTGTTATATTGTTTTAGTATCATTTTTTGTATACTTTACAGGTATACCTCGCCTTACGTCGGTAATTGGTTCCAGGAAAACGACTTAAGTCGAAAACCGACGTCTATGAATCTACTTGTCACTAGGCTAAACCATAAATTGCCAATTCCGGTTCTGTATTTTATTTATTAATGCATTTTTAATAATGTATGGTTAATAAGGATCTATTTTAAGCTTACAAACAAATAAATTTTAGTTTTTAATATAGTACATAAAAAAGTAGTCTAAATTTACGAATGCATGTACTGTAAATACAGTAGGGCCTACATACTTGTAAATGTATATATTTTAATATGATTTTATGTGCTTTAAACATTTTTCTAGTGATATTACGACTTCAATATTTGTGGCGGACAGATGTAAAGTCGAATAAAATGACTTAAACTTGATTTTTATTTTTCCATATACTTTTTTGACAAACGACGTATAATCAGGGACGACGTAACTCGAAACGATGTAAGTCGAGGTATACCTGTACTTGGTATTGGTAACTTTAAATATGCAAAACTGCAATGAAATTCTGACTCAAAATATAATTTTAAACTAGAGTCAAAAATCTTCATACATTGTAATGGCCTTCTAGTTCCATAAAATAGCCTCTTGGGTTCCAAAACTTCACTTTGACTTGACTTTATTTGAAGTGATACACTGTATACAAGGTAGTTATTATATAAGGAAAGCATTAAGACCAGTTCATATACTTCATGAGAATGGAAAAGAGAGGAGAAAATGATACTAAACAGGATTAGTGAGTGCACAACACTTCATGTATTACTAGTGACATACTTCTGTCTCTTTTGGTTAGAGAGAAAAGTCAACATAAGTTTTATTTTTATTTCTGTTGGTATCTGCAATCCTTCACATCCTTCAACATGGAGACTGATAAAATTTAAATGATTAGAGCTAGAACAGAATTATTTTTGATGAATCATAATTTATCAATTAAAAAAAACACTATAATAGTGTGGTTGAGATTATGTGATATCAATTTATTCTTGACCACTTACTATTGAGAGCTTAGTGAACAATTATTGCCTTTGGAAAGATGTTTTTATTCATTTTTAATATTTTTTTTACAATATGCATTTCAGCCAAATTATTAGTTTGGCCCTCTTCAGTTGTAATTGTTTACAAATAAAAAATAATTTTTTGTTGTCATCTTTATTCGTTTAATTTTTTCCATTAATAATGTTTCCAGTTCTTTTATTTAATTTTGGATTGTCATTACATTTTTAAAAATATATATTTTTTCAAGTATTACAAATTTCACCTTACATTTTTTTATAATATAATAGTTTCCATTTTCTCTTCTTTTTGAATTAATTAATAATAAATATATACTCTAATTTTTTTTGGAATTTTACAACTTAGGTTTCACTTTGCTATGCTTTCAAAGTTTTGTTTTAAACTGCAAGCATCAAATGCACATGTATGATTCTGTTTTATTCTTTTGAAGTATGAACACTTATGGAAAGAGAATAGTTCTCTTCTCTTTTCCATATGCTACTTCATTGTAATGTTGTCAAGGAAAGTACATTTACAACTATTGTTATTGAATTTTCTTTACAAACAGTAAAATTGATTCTATAAAATGGAAAATAAATGATGGGAGGTTGCAAACACGATCTAATTAGAATAATATTAACTGAATTGTAACTTGTTTACATCATTTGGCTAATGATAAAATTGGTTTCATTAAATGTCATTCATTTAACATAGCAATTTACAAGAACCTATTATACAATGAGGACTTGTTGTATATGTAATGATAATATCTATTTGGATTTGAATAACTTAAGATATACAAATGACATATTAAATTTCATTTTATTAGTCGCCATGTTGAAGAATGCAAAAAGTTTCAGGCTACCAATGAAGAGAAAAGTAGAACTTCTGTCACTTTTTCTTACTAATCAAAAGAGAATAAAAGTTTGCCATAGTAATGAACAAAGTCTTGGGCACTAAACATGTTTAGTGTCATTTTCTCTTCTCTTTTCCATTCTCAAAGTATGAAAGGCCATTAGTAATGCATGTTTCTTCCATTCCTGGCACATATCCATAAATAATTGCATTTAGTTAAAAGACATGCATATAAAGCATGGGTTCCCAACCTATGGGTCGCGGCCCAGAAGGGGGTCGCAACGGGTTTTCTGTGGAGTCGCCAACTTATACAGTAAACTAAACAAAAATATATTCACTATAATGCAATGTTTATTTTTAATGGTGTCTTGAAGTTTGAATAATTTCATATATTTTTTTAAAATTAAAATAAGTGTAATCTAGGTACACTATTCTGTCACAGTTGGTTAAAACATGTGTTGAGAGTTTGAGAGGAATAGATTAAATGTTGAGAATGACATGAGGTTGGCGTTAACAAAAACTCACCCATGAATTTTGAGGCTGGTTAATAACATGCCATTTCAACCATTGCATTAAATTAATTATTAAACATAATTTAAAATAAAATTATGCTAAAAAACTAATTTTGTAGTTTGTTTTAATTATCTTATTAAAAATGCCTTTTTCAATTGTATCGGAGCCTTGAGTCACTTGGTTTTTATAAACAATTGCATAATAAAGTCAGCCTTTTATGTATGAAGACTTTTGGCTTATTCTGTACAATATGGTAAAATAAACTATACAATTAATATTAATTATTAAAACAGTCAAGTAATGGTTCTATTACTAAAATTGTTTGTATACATGTCTAAATTAAATGAATATTTTTTCTTGTATTTCATTCATAAAATAATTTCTTCATATCAAAAAGTCATTCACAAATCTATGCTCTATCCATTAATAGAAATTAAAAATACTTCAGTCAATCATCATGAAACCCGATATATTAGTAACATGCCAAATGACTTCAATTTAATATGACAGTTGTTTGGCATATTAAAAATACTTCAGATTCATTTAAAATTCATTACAAAATTATGCTATTTGATAAACTAAAATTACAAAGCCCATAATTGGAATGTATCATAGTTTGATTTAAAAAACCTTATATTTAAAATATTAATATTAAGTTAAGTACATTGGTGTTTTAGAAAGTGGTGTTAAATTGGTTTGCAGGTTGGTGACATAAGGTGGAATCGATGATCTTCCTGCAGGATTACGAACAGACCAGACTGAAGATACCTAAAACAATTTAAGTTCATATTATGCTCTTACTTCAAGAATCAAAATTTAAAAAATAAAACAAAACTTTACAGGAGGAGCAGTTGGAGTTGTGGCACCAGTTAAATATCCGGGTAGATATTGAGAACTTCCAGATGGTGATGGCGTATTAGGACTAGATGGAGAACCCAAAGTCATAGGTTCTGTAGGACTAGAACCTGAAAAACATGTAATGTAAAATTTACATTAAACCAAATAAGAAGAATGCAGACTGTACAGTCAACATATAATTTTATTTTAAACTTCTTTGAACATCATTAATGAAATTTTAGCTTCTCAATTTCTTCTTCATTAACAATCATTTACATATATTTTTTAATGATCAGAATTCATAAAATATAATTATGAGCAAATTTTCAACGTATTTATATGTTTTTATAAAATAGATTTAAATTTCCAGAATAATTACACTCTGCTATAATTCTTGTAATAAATGTACAAAAAATATTAAAATAAAGTTTTGATACAATATATAATAATAATAATAATAATAATAATAATAATAATTTTTAATTACAACTAGAATGAAAACTATTGGAAAAAAAAGTGTTTTATAATTAAAACTAAAAACTTTGATGACTAAAAAAATGTTTACTTTGTAAAGGTGCTAAGGGGAATTTCAAAATGAAAAAATAAGAATTATATGTGATACTGTTATTGTCTCCATTGCCATCTGGACTGCCGAGCAATAACAAACCACATTATCTGGGAGCAGTTGAGTCAGAGATCTCGATGTCTCGTTTATAAACAACACAACCCATTTATTAGACAATTTAACTTACAAGAAGTTCATAGTCATGAAGGGTTAAGTCCTTGTATACTTGGGCATGTAGTCTTCAAAGAAGAAAAGGAAAGTCCTGCGAAGAAGGTGTTTTCCATTCACTGACTGGATGTTGCATTCTAAGTCCAGTTGACAAACAGGAAATGATGTCCGATGAATGCAGATTGGAATGTCTTAAGATTCTCTCAGCGAAGGTCTAATACTTTCGGAGGATATTTTGAATGAATTGCAAATGATATGATTTGAAGATGAATTATATCATTTATGAAGTTTTTTATTAATATTTATTAAATAAAATCATCACTCTAACCCAAAATCTTTCATTTATTTACTACAGGAAGAATGGACTTAAATGATGGGATAAGGTAGTACAAACACATGGACAGTCTGCTAAGGGAGTTTTTCAAGAAAGTTTTCAATGCAAAACTGGCTGCTATTTAGGTGTCATATTGCATATGTGAAGAAAGCCTAGAAAACTCCACATGACCAACCTGTTGATCAGGTAACCAACTACCAGTGTTCAGTGGTTTTAACCACTTGGCCATTGATGGGATATGGACTCAAAGCACATGATAATATTTAAAACTTTAAATAAATAAAGTCATGGAAACCCTTATTTCATAAAACCAAAATTTGATTCCTTTCTTAAGAGTATGAACATTTAGTTGCCTTAACGATACCTTCACATCTTTCCTTGAGTACTTTTTGTTTACAATAATTTTTTTTCTTTTATTAAACAGACTTCATGAACCACCATTTAAAAGTTTGTAAAAGTAAACCTTTGTAGGAGCACAGATGATCCAAAACAGTTTAAATAAATCATCAGATTAATTTTTCATATCTTTCCTTCTCTACATAACTAACTTTTTACTATAAATTCTCCAGTGCTGTAAAACATTTCCAGTCATTGCAGCACAATTTAAACTAGTGATAAATGACTTTTTCTGGATTCAGGCAAGTAAACTTTGTATACTTCTGGTGGGCTGCATGCATTTTTTTCTTACTGAGATGCAGGCTTTTAAGCCTGCTAAGTATCAACACATTTGATAACTTCCAATACACTGTCTTTTAAACTAATGTATGCTAACTAGTAATGTATAGTTTATTTTCATCTTTTTAGTGGTCAAGTTTAGTTTGAATGTTCTTTGTCATGAATATCAACTTAATTAGGGTTGCATAATGTCACAAGGCAGAAAACAAAAAATAAAAATGACATTGACAAAACTGCAGAGGCTGCAAATTAGAATCTTGAGGGCTATATGCAATTTGAGGGTTGTTCAAGACTGATTCAAACTGTAATAATAAGCTAACACTACATCAGGCAGTCAGATGATACTAATAGTATTGCCAAATTCTTCACTCTATTTCTCAAATTAGAATCTTAATTTGCTAAGCACAATCAACAAAACCTTTAACATCCAGTAACAAAGTTTTAATGTAAAATTGAAGAATATTTTTGATTTTAAACAAAATCTACATCAAGTCAACAACAACATTCCAAATTGGAATGCTTAGAACACAACTTTTTCAAAAAGTTTTTTAAATAATTAGAACAAAAAGAAATGCTGACCTGATGCAGATCCTGTTTAAGATTGAAAATATTCTTCAATTTTTACATTAAAATTTTGTTACTGGATGTTAAAGGTTTTGTTGCATGTGCTTAATAATTCATTCCAGTTATTGAAAAATAATTATGTTAATATTTCCAAAACATCTCTTCCTTACTTTCATATAATGTATTTTCATTTAAGATAACAGTTAAAAAAAACAGTATTTTCAGACTAAACAAGACTTAAGATTTGTTTAATAAATAACTGAATGCAAGAGTCATTCAGGGTTATCATCACTGCCAAAATCAAAATCATCATCTGTTTATTTTTTTAATGTATGTCCTAGGAAAAATATTTTAGTATTTAAAATTTATTGCACTTAATCCACCAGAAATTTTCAACACTATTCATTATTTTCTTCTAAAATTACAAGTTAACAACTATAATCAATTATTTACTTCTATACTAATATTATAAAGAGATAATGTTTGTAAGTAAGTAAGTAAGTTTGGATGTAGCGGATAATCTCCAAAACTACTCATCCGATTTAAAAAGTTCTTTCATCAATATTTAGAATGGAACTTCAGGGTGGACATAGGCTGTATATTACTACGTAAACATTCATATAAATTAAAACATATCATCTTGGGCTAACACTTTTATGTCCAACAGATGGCGCTAAGAGTACGATGCCCTAAGTTTACTTTTCTGTGAGGATGAACTAAAGCAGATCATCATCTATCTATCTATATAAATAAAAATGTAATGTTCGTTTGTTCCTACCAATTCCTTTGAAATTTTGATACAACGCTGCATTTGAATGCGCATGTGTTTTTATATAATATATGTGTCAAAATTTCCCTCACCGGGGGGAGATGGACAGGATTAAGGCTTACAGTAAAGAACTCTGCTTCTATTTATACTATTTCAGATGCGGTTTTTTGCATTTTTGATTGCGTTTTAATAGGGTACGTCAAGAAAATGTACACTAAGAAGGGATTTTTCGAAAAATCCCCCCCCTGGGGAAAGTGTTATACATTTATAATAGATACATTTTGAGCCAATAACGCATGGCAGGGTCTGCTAGTATTTAATGAATTTTTAATACTAAATAATATATTGAAAATCAACTAGATTATAATTAAATTATCATTTAACAAAAATAGTGCTATTCAATATATATTACCATAATTTTACACAGAAAATCTGCCTAATTGCCTTTTAAAGAGGTTATTCAAAGACAATTTGAAAGCAGATGCAGGTTATATGCTGATTTTAAACTGCTACAAACAATTATTTACTGTGACATCATCACAATGCAATTTTTAATCTTATTTTAAATTTATTTAATTTAAAATATATACTCTCCACCTCAAATTAGTAGTGTTTTGCTCCTTGTACATCATACCCTTCTGTTAGCAATGGAATTGTGCTGTCCTCTAATACCTTTCAGGGAAAAATTCTTGAATTGAAATGTGACTTCCAGTTTGCATCAGAAGTTCATATATAATTAATTGGGGCTCCAGTCCCCTAAGATTTCCTATCTGATCTTGAAATTCATTTATCTAACGCCATTCTCAAGATTTATGGGCCAGTTGTAACTTTAATCTGATTTGCAATACTGTCGTCCACTAAGTCTATTGCATTTAACTATTTAGCCCAACTTCAAGTAGTACACTTGACTGTTATATAGTTTTAGCACCCAGGCACTGATATGCAAGCAATAGCAGATACCAAAGTGCACATCTACATGCTTTGCATGTAGAATAGGCAGTACACTGATACATGACCTTTGGAGGTAAATATGTCAAAAAGGGTCAACAATTCTGGGGTGATGCGAAACCCCTCATTCAGAGCTTGAATCTTGTGCCATACATTTTGGCTGGCGTGCAGAAGTACAGGTAACCCCCGTATAACACAGTAGTTACGTTCCAAAAAATTGCCGTGTTATGCAAATCCGTGTTATGCGAAACAAAGAACTAGTACAAAAAGGAGGGTTGGGTTCCAAAAATTAAAAAACATGCGACTATATTTTCATAATTAAGATAAATTTCTTCATTAAAATTTTTTTAAGTGATACATATTAATATAAATTAAACAATGTTTTCTTCGTCATCACTAAAAACACTATTAATTAACGAGAGCGTTTTCTTTTTGGCAAGTTATCCTTATCCTCTGAGCATTTTTCTGCATTATCTTCAGATCCATGCTTTACCTTTTGGNCTTAAGTGATACATATTAATATAAATTAAACAATGTTTTCTTTGTCATCACTAAAAGCACTATTAACCGAGAGCGTTTTATTTTTGGCAAGTTATTGTTATCCTCTGAGCATTTTTCTGCATTATTTTCAGATTCATGCTTTACCTTTGGCAAAAAGTGTATGTAATTTTAGATTGCTTGCTTCTAGTTAATTAATTAAAAGATCTTTATAAATTTCCTTATATGGCACTAAGAACTTATGGAATAAGGGAAAAACATCTGGCAATACCAGAAGCAGAAGCGTTGAGATCTGGCAAAATTGAAACAATTTTGTATAGAAAAATGTGTATGGAGACGAGAAAAGAAAATTTACACACTGAAGTACTAATAGTTCACGAAAATAATAACTTTCATGAACTATTAGTACTTTAGTATGTAAAAATTTATTACATTTTATGTTATACAAGGGTTTTACCCATTTCTCAAACCGTGTCAGAGTGAATCCGTGCTATAGAAGTGCCGTGTTATACGGGGGTTACCTGTATTTATCTAATTATGTATATAATTAAATGAATTACCTACTAATGTAGTAATTTACTATTTAAATTACATTCTAATCTTATTTGGTATAGCTCTTGTTTTTCTTAACTCTTTCTTCCGTACTGTGTACTAAACTGCATATCTAATCATAATCAATTATGTCATTTTCTTTTCTTTTATTTAGGGAAATTAACAGTTATCTCAGATATGTAATAATATGTATAAAATATAATTCAAATTAAAAATCCAGGTAAAATGCTTACAGTTCTGTTTTAACAATGTAATCTACCACGTTACTACTATAAAAGGGATTCGTTACACGTGACATTTTTCCTTTAACTTTTATGAGAAAATCAGTTTCAGAATTCTCCTATTAATAAAATATTACATAGCACCTCCAAACATTAAATTTTATCATCATCAATACAAAATAACAGAGAAAAAAATCACATTTATATGAAAATAAAAATAACGTCTTACCTAAATGACCTAACATGATTGCTTGCAATGTGACAAATTCAAATTATTGTTTCCAGAGCCACCTGTCGGTCATAATATGTCATTCGGCAACCACATTCATCAGATTTCATTTAACATTTTTAAAATTAATTTAATTTTTTAATTTATAAAGATAATACTACAAAATTAGTTATTTATTGTTTATAAATATCTTAAGTCATAAAAAAATATTATGGCGCTTGTTTTAGTTTTTCGCTTTCCACGCTGTAGGCACTAAGGGGCCTTTTTTCATATCATTGTAGGTTTTTTTCAAACTCTTTCTGCTCTGTAAACACTAAGAGGGCCTCTTTTCGCAAGCCCATTATGGGCCCGATCTATCCGGATGGCCACCCCCGAGAAATTTCTTGGGTTTCATCGACCTTCCGGATTCGAGCCCGGGTCCCCCTGGGCGGTAGGCTGCCATCTTGACCGCTCGGTCGTCCGACCGTATTCTGATAGAGTTATCTAATAATGAGTTTGGCTAAAATGAGCGAGAAATGATAAAGAAGAGCCAAATTAAAACGCTAGAATAAAGATTCCTCATAATGGTATAATTCTTTATGAAAAAAAAAAAATTCTCCAAAAATAAACCAAATGCATGAAGACATTATAGTACTTTAATTAAACGATTTGCATTGGATTTAAAATTTAATATTTTTGTTAGTATAAAATGAGTTACCCCGGCCTACTTTCCCTAGACATGATCTTTTTATGAGCGTAAAATTTTTGTCCGAACAGATTTTAATAGGATCCCTTTAAACGATCCGAGTGGGATCGTGTAAATTGGGTATCGCCCAAATGATAAGCAGTGCGTTGCGAGACATGAGAGTTTCACACGGCACGGACGTTTGCAGTGACGCAAGCGGACCAATGGAGCAAATGTGTGTCTTCCCATGATCCCCATCATTCCAATGATTAGTCGATTAGTTTCTGCGCCTGCTCCACAGTCACGAGTGTCTCGCCACCAGTGCTGTGCGATGTCTATAATTTTAATGTTAATTTTAATGTTTGCCTAAGCATAGATTCTAAATTTCGATGTCGGATTTCACATCGATGTTTGATCGATGCCCATTGGAACATCGATGTTCAATCAAGATAAACTGAAACAATTTAAATATCCTGCCAATAGATGGCGCTACGTTAAAACGAACAGTACGGACCAGGATATAAATCAATTGATTTACAGAAACCCAATAGTTATTTTGAAATGCGTTGTTCGAAATTATGTATGTTAGCTGTGTGTAAACGTAACTGTCGAGATGAATGATATTTAAAAAAAAAAAAAAAAAAAAACGACTGGGGGCGCGAACCCAGGACCTGCATTGCTGCAATGCAAGCCTGATGGAGAAACGTTTGAGAGAAAAAAAAGAAAAAGACGACATGTGGGTGTGAACCCAGCTGCACGCTGCAACGCAAGCCTAATGGCGGACCTTTTGAGGAAAGAAAAAAAAAGGCAACCAGTGATTCAAACCCAGACTGCAAGCTTCAACGCAAACACCCAGAAGGAGCGCAGTAAACCAAACCACAAACGCCTTCAATCGTAATAAGGATTTTTGTTCTATTTATACTTAATCTAAAGTACAAGCAGTTTTATCTATTAGCAGGAAATTTAACAAAACGTCATTAAGTGATTATCTACTATATATAAAAGCGGAAAAACGGTTTCTGCCAGGGGGACGCCCCTAGCAACTTTTTTATATTTTTACAGTATATTATTATTTTTTTTTAAGTTAATTTTGAAGGATGTTATGGGTAGAAAATTTTAAATTTGGTTAAAAATCTGTTTCTTTTTTTCCAATTATTTGAAATTTAAGCGCTAGTCTAAATAAATTATGTATTTTGTTGTAATTAATTAAAAATTTCATCTCATCTGGACTCTAGCAATTTTCTTTAAAAGAGAGGGGGCCAGCCATGACCTAAATCGATAAACTATAATCTACAATAGACTGAATGAAAATTTATGAAAAACAATAATGCGTAACACATTATTCAATGAGATATGTTTACAGAATCGCTAGAGGATTATTTGTATAACCTTAACCTTGTATTATTTAACTTTAATGTTAAATTAGACAAACCAGTTATTTTAAAATGTACTACAATAATACATATTTTTATTCTTAAAACTATTCTAAGCATTATATGTGTAATATATGGCATAAAATTGCTATTCATATGCATAATTATATTTACTATGGTATAAAAAGTGATTTACCATATAAAATATTTGTAATTTTTAATCTGAATTGGCCCTGGCTGTTTTCAGTCCACATTATCTTAGATAATTAGAGTTCTACTGTATTATTTAATTGTTTAATAATATGGTTTTACAAATAAACAAGTAATTTAATATTTTATNAAATAGGCAACCAGTGATTCGAACCCAGACTGCAAGCTTCAACGCAAACACCCAGGCGGAGCGCAGTAAACCAAACCACAAACGCCTTCAATCACAATAAGGATTTTTGTTCTATTTATACTTAATCTAAAGTACAAGCAGTTTTATCTATTACCAGGAAATTTAACAAAACGTCATTAAGTGATTATCTACTATATATAAAAGCGGAAAAACGGTTTCTGCCACGGGGGGCGCCCCTAGCAACTTTTTTATATTTTTACAGTATATTATTTTTTTTTTAAGTTAATTTTGAAGGATGTTATGGGTAAAAAATTTTAGATTTAGTTAAAAATCTGTTTCTTTTTTTTCAATTATTTGAAATTTAAGCGCTAGTCTAAATAAATTATGTATTTTGTTGTAATTAATTAAAAATTTCATCTCATCTGGACTCTAGCAATTTTCTTTAAAAGAGAGGGGGGCAGCCATGACCTAAATCGATAAACTATAATCTACAATAGACTGAATGAAAATTTATGAAAAACAATAATGCGTAACACATTATTCAACGAGATATGTTTACAGAATCGCTAGAGGATTATTTGTATAACCTTAACCTTGTATTATTTAACTTTAATGTTAAATTAGACAAACCAGTTATTTTAAAATGTACTACAATAATACATATTTTTATTCTTAAAACTATTCTAAGCATTATATGTGTAATATATGGCATAAAATTGCTATTCATATGCATAATTATATTTACTATGGTATAAAAAGTGATTTACCATATAAAATATTTGTAATTTTTAATCTGAATTGGCCCTGGCTGTTTTCAGTCCACATTATCTTAGATAATTAGAGTTCTACTGTATTATTTAATTGTTTAATAATATGGTTTTACAAATAAACAAGTAATTTAATATTTTATGTAAAAGTAGTTTAAATGCCAATTAAATTTTGGTTATTGGTTACAACGAGTTGGGCATTAGCTACAACGGCTATATTGCGGCATGGAAAGTGAAAATTCAGCGGATAGTATTAGTAATGCTAGGTGGCTAGGTGGCACCGGAATAATGCCTTCGGAGAGGTCTTCTTAATAATACATGATGTGCTAAAAAGAAATACAGTATCCATAACGCGTCATTCATACAATTTAGCCTAATTCTGACGCCTTAATATATTTTAATGTTTATCCTTAATTACGCTATATTTTATAAATCACAAAAATTCAAAATTGCGTTAAATAACATAAGCAGAAAGCAAGTAGGCTAATGAAAATTAAATTTGAGAGTTTATTAACGAGTTAGGCATAAAGATCAACAGGTTTATTCTTTATGGAGAGTTATTAAACATTAAAAACGTAACACAATAATACACCATGCTAAATTCTATAAAACGCAAGATATGCAAAAAAACACTAGAAAACAAGGCATTAAGATCTGTCCATTCGCTTGATTAAGTACTTCCAGGCGGAAGGCAACCCTTCAGCATTCCTAGAATTAATGCATGCATCATGTAATCTGCTCCTGTATATTTCAATCTTTTCTGCGCAAATCGCCAAAGTTGGTGAATGTACTGGTTTAATAANAATTCAAAAAATTTTTTTTTTATAAAATTTTAAAAAATTTATAAAAAAAATTTTTTTTAAACATTGAGTTATATACATATACTAATTAATTTTTGTACTTCAGAATGTATCAAACGCATACTACTAGCGGACAATTTATATTAGTAATCAACAAAGATACTTTACTTTAACCAGGGTTAATTCTTTTATTTTCATAATTTTCAAATCACTTTCCAAATGCATTTTGCCGTTATAGCCTCTTCAGTGGATTATCCAACAACTACACACTTGTTACGTTTTATACAAATAAATTTTTCCCAGCATGCATCAACGTTTAGACAGACATTCTGATTCAACAAATTTGCATGTTCTATTATACAAAGGTGTTCTACCACGCGTCTTTTAAACAAATTTTCCATTTTATACAATATTTTTACAGAACTTCTATTAATTTTACAATTATAATTAACACAATGTTGATACAATGGTGACTCTTGTTTTTTTAGACGAATCGCTGCCTCGTGTTCTTTTAGGCGTATCTCGAGCTTCCCTCCCGTTTCTCCAACATATGATTTCGCTTGTAAACAATCACATGATACCTTGTAAACCACTCCTGCGACGTCAAGCTGATTTCTTGCTGTTTTTTTGACCTTTAGTATTAATAATATTAATAATATTCGACATTTTATTTTCCCGCTTGGCCACTACACATACAGAAGACTTTTTAAATAAAGGTTTATATCTATATATATAAGGCATTTTTACATAAATGTTATTATCTATACAATTTTTAACATTATATCTGTAATTTATAAAAGAATTATACCACTTACAAATTTTATTCTTTGGGTAATCATTCAATAAATATTTTCTAAACAATTGTTTAATTTCTTTATTTATATCTTTTTGAAGTGTTGTTCTGTTTAATATTTTCCTCAATTCCATAGTAAAAACGTTTCTCTTAGTTTCTATAGGGCAATAAGAT